GGGGCTGGCTGGCATGTGGTGCTGGGGGATTGAGCTGCGGTCCCTGTGCTTTGCCAAGCTTGTTCCAAGTAGGTGCTTTAGACCACTGAGCCATCTCTCCAGCCCCAACAATAAATAGTTTAGATGAACATTTTTTGAAAACCCACAAAACAGTGACTGCATGAACATTGAGCTGCGAAATAGTGAGGGACGACTGTGTAGCTGTTCTTGCTAGGGGCTGGGCCATGGTGGACACGTTGATTTGTCCCACTGTAGTAGCCATTTGACTATACAGATATATGTATGTATTTAACAGTATATTCTTAAATACTCAAAATGCAATTCATTATAAAAAAGATACTAGAAGTCTACACTGGAGGTAGGAGCATCTTACCTTGAAAAGCTTGAGGCATGCTTTTCTCGTACTGCATTTTTGTCGCAGTCACTTTTCTTATCTTGGATGAACCACATCCGCCCTGTATGATAACTGAGGAGAAGGAATAGATGGAAGTGCTTTTGTTTGTCTCACGGGGTGCTGAGGCTGTCCAGGCGCCTGGTCGCTTGTGGCCGACATGGGAGTGCCACTCTTGTGCTTACGGCCTTCGCCAAGTCCCCGCCATGTCCTGAGCACCTAAAGGCCAGCTCTCACGCCTGCCCTGCTTTGTTTCCATCTGCCTTGGAGAGACGGCCCACCCTGTGGCTGGCATAGTCTTTAGCTACTTGCTGCCTTCTTTCAATCTCACTTTTTTTCTTTCTGTATTTAGTACAGGGTCTACAGGGTCTCACCATGTGGACTGGACTCGTTGCGATTCTGTTTACAGCCTTCCAAGCGCTGGGATTACAGGCACGCGTCACCATGCCCAGTCTCATTTGCTGTGTCAGCACGCTCCACAGGCGGGGCTGGCCCAGCAGGCCAGGGATTAAACCCCAGCTGCTGCGCTCTGCTTAAGCAGGCGCGTTAGTCAGCTGAGCTATCAGGCTGACCCTCAATCCCACTTTTGATCTTAACAGCCTTTTTTTTTTTAAGCACAGTGTGTGCTCATGTCTGCATTCCCACTGTCTATGATGCTTATAGATTATTTTCTCTCAGAGTCTCTCAAAAGTTGTCCCTTAGTAACATTTACTGAGATAATTATGTCCTCAGAACTCTCAGTGGCATCAGGACTCAGTAATAGAAAAGTCAAACCTCTGTTAGCGTAAGCACAACTGTCGCCATGAAAGTTAAAGCGGCTACCACAAATGCTGCCAAATAACGTCAGCCTCACTTCACTCAGATCGGCCTAATGCAAGGAAAACCCGTGGGCCTCTGGTGTTGCCATCCCCTTTTGCTGGATGGAAAGTCAGGAACACTTTTAGAGAGCTGCTGCCTGTGGAATATGCAGCCCTGCCCATCTCCTGCTTGTAGGTAGGACAATCATCCGGGTGCCCTTGAGCACTGTTCTCCCTGTCCCCTGAGGATTAGAAAGCTCATACATGAGCCCACAATGTCGGGAACATCGTGACCATCACCCTAGGCAAGTCGATGTGGACAGCAGCTGCACTCAAGGTTGCGGTCATGAGGACCGGTCCCTCAGCAGCCCGCCCACTGCGCAGCAGGCACTCTCGGCCCGAACGGCTCAACACTAGAGCATGAGTAAGGGAGGCTAACTTGGCAAGCATGCTTAAAGGTCTCCCTGAAAAGGTGGGGCCAAAGTGAAGGTAGTGCACGAAAGGAGATCGGCATGTGAAGATAAAGCAGAACAATTCCAGGCAGAGAAAAGTCTCACAGGAACACACTTGGCATGACAGAAAAGACAAGTGTGCAAGAGTGACCAGGGATGTGGTTGGAGAGAGAGACAGGATACTGCAGAGTAACGCAAGCAGTCTGCATTTTACTGTGGATTAAGACTCTGCGAGTGAAAAGTTTGAAAATACGTGGGAGAGCCAGGTGTGGTGGGGCACAGCTGTAATCCCAGCCCTCCTGAGGCCGAGGCAAGAGGGTCACTGTGAGTATAAGGATAGCCTGGGCTACAGAGTGAGACCCTGTCTCAGAACCACCAAATATGTAAATATAAGCATATAAATATATGTGAAGTGTGGGAGAAAAGATGAAGCAGGAGAGCGACCTTGCTTGCACTGCGCTTGGAGCAATGGAAACGGGAGAAGTTGAATAGATTCAGTGATAGGTTATGGCTCTAATAAGAATTGCACATATTTTGAAGATAGACCAAATTAGGGCTCACTGAGTCCTAATGTTTGAGAATGTGCACCATCAGCAGTCTTAAGAGTGTTTAAGAAAAAATACTGGTTTTAGCCTGAGCATTTCCTTGGATAAGGAGATTGAGTGAAGATGAGCAGTTTGGTTTGGGCATGGTGAGATTCAGATGTTCACTGCACACCCGGGTGACACTGTCAGGAGGGCAGCTTTGAGCTCTGTGAGGCTGCCTGGACAGGTTTGCCTTTTCTTCACTTGGGGGACAGTGAAAGCCACAGGACTGGATGAGGTAAGCTAGGAAGAGGATAGATGTTAAGAGCAGCCAGGCCTGGGGACTCCAGGAAGTTCAGGGCACTGAACGTAGATGAAGTGCTTAGCTATAGTAAATTTCAGAAAGTGTGCTGTTATTTTTCTATGGACTTACTTCTTAGAAGTATCTTCAGCTTCAGGTACGTATGGTGTATGGACCTGTAACAGGCCAGATGGGCCCAAGCCGCGGACCCTCTTACCTTTTTTCTCTCCCTCAGGCCCTGCATGCCATCCCAGGGGCACCTGTGTTTACTTCCTGTATATGGTTTACTTCACCACATACCTTGGAGTCTCATTGGGAAATCACCCTGGAAAAGGGCAGGATGTGCTGTCAGATCAGACGCAAACAAAGCGTGGTGGTGGGGCAAGCTCTCTGGCTGATGGAAGGAGCCCTGTTAGCGGATGGGTTTGCCGAGCTGTTCTCAGCCGCCAGCTGGGACAAAAGCTTCTGTTGGCATGTGGCAAGGAGGAAGAGGATCCTGTGTTGTCACTGTGCTTACCCTGAGCGCTGGACCAAATACAAATTGTAAGCAGGGTGAAGATGCCTAGCACACCACACCTAGATGTTTTCCAGGCAAGGAAGACAACACGCAAGTCATGGCTTTTCCCCCATTATGTCTGAGGCCTTCCTCCTCCGATTCTCGTACTCTAGAGAATAACTACCATTACCTTTCAAATTAAAAGGTGGCCAGAATTATTTTATTTATTTATATTTTTTGGCTGGCTCAAGCAGCCTTAATGGTGGTTCTGGTAAGACATGGAGAGCTGGGGATTGCACTGGGCCTGACTGGGTTTGCCCCAGCAGGCACTTAAACAACTGAGCTAACCCGCAAGCCCCCCAGAATCAAATTTCGACTCTGTAGTGAACTAAACCAGACGTTCTGATTCAGATACAGACATTCTTCGCTTAATAACCCAGCTCTGGCCCTGCTACTTGCTAAGTTATTAAAAGAACTTGGGCTGGCCAGATAGCTCAGCTGACTAAAGCGCCTGCTTAGGCAGAGCACAGCAGCCTGGGTTCGATCCCCGACATGCCATGCAGCCTGCCCCCCAACAGGGAACGCTGAGATGGTAATTGAGACTGGGCTTGGTGACGTATGCCTGTAATCCCAGCACTTGGCAGGCTGAAAACAGGACAATCACTATGATCCGATCTACATAGTAAGACCGTGTAGACCCCGTCCTAATTTTTTTAAAAAAAAAAAAGCTTTGGGCCTGGACTCCCAATGTGCTCCGGTGGTTTGGACAAGATGAGCTCGATCGGAACCGGGTATGATCTATCAGCCTCTACATTCTCTCCTGATGGAAGAGTTTTTCAAGTTGAATATCTATGAATGCTATGGAAAATAGTAGTGCAGCTATTGGGATCAGATGTAAAGACGGTGTTGTCTTTGGGGTAGAAAAATTAGTTCTTTCTAAACTTTATGAAGAAGGTTCCAACAAATGACTTTTTAACGTTGATCGGCATGTTGGGATGGCAGTAGCAGGTTTGCTGGCAGATGCTCGGTCTTCAGCAGACATAGCAAGAGAAGAAGCTTCCAACTTTAGATCTAACTATGGCTATAACATTCCACTGAAACATCTTGCAGACCGAGTGACCCTTATGTGCATGCTTACACACTCTGCAGTGCCGTCAGACCCTTCGGCTGCAGTTTCATGCTTGGGTCTTACAGTGTGAATGATGGTGCACAACTCTACATGTCTGACCCTTCAGGTGCTTCATATGGTTATTGGGACTGTGCTATTGGCAAAGCCCGGCAAGCTGCAAAGACAGAAATAGAGAAGCTTCAGATGAAAGAAATGACCTGCTGTGATGTTGTTAAAGAAGTTGCGAAAATAATTTACATAGTACATGATGAAGTTAAGGATAAAGCTTTTGAGCTCGAGCTCAGCTGGGTTGGTGAATTAACTAAAGGAAGACATGAAATTGTTCCAAAAGATGTAAGGGAAGAAGCAGAGAAATACGCTAAGGAATCACTGAAGGAAGAAGATGAATCAGATGATGAGAATATGTAACAATTATCTGAGCATCTATCTAGTCGGCTTTACATTTCTATGACAGTCCCTTGTAACTGTTTAGCCCCTGAATTATACATATCCACCACTGAAATTTCATTAAAATGTTGTCTTGTAAAAAAAAATAATAAAATAAATAAATAAACTGGTTGCTAAATGAGTTGTAGAACCAGGTATATGGCACACACCTATAATCCCAGCACTCAAGAGGCTGAGGCAGGAGGATCACCATGAGTTCGAGGCCAGCTTGGGATACATATAGTTCAAGGACAGTCTAAACTACATAGCAAGACCCTGTCTCAAAACAGTAATAATATTGAAAAGGAGCTGTACATAGTACATGCAGTACAGAATTAGGAGAAGCAACCATAATCCCACACTGCCACTGATATTCCTGTGTGGCAAGTTTGAGCATTGGACCAGATGTCTAAACAGCTCACATCAGTCATAAATCTGAATAGTCTTTAAACAGGCAGGACCTTAAGTGAGGAATGCCCATACTAGGTACTAAGTTTCTGCCTTGGTTTGACAGTATATTAACAAATGAATTATCGAATCAGCCAACCCCAGTGCATGTTCTGTTCTTTCTTTTGAAAGGCTCCACTGCCCCAGCTTGCCATCTGCAGCACACAGAGAAGCACAGACATGCTGGGCTCGGAGGTGCAGCGCAGGAGGTGTGTATGGAGTATGAGAGAGAAGAGATGGTGGTGAGCCCTTGGGCCTTACCTGAAGAAATCCGCAGGATTCTCCATGGAAGCCACGATTCTCTTCTACAGGTAGAGTTCTTCCTGACTTCTAATGATTGCTCTGTGTTCATCAGTGCATGTTCTTGGTATTTTTTTTTAAGATTTCTAAGATATAGTTCTTTTTTATAATTTTTATTGGTATTTGGTTTTTGTAACACCTGGAAATATTAATCGTTAGGTGAGTTGGAGAGAGTTACTCAAAGCATCCATCCTTTTGGCTTAGTGTCCTGGCATTTATTTTTCATCATTCTCCTTGGATTTGTGCCTTCTTAAATTCAAAACAGAAGAAAGGAAAAGATCACTGTAGCACAGCCGTCAGTCTGTCTCAGTTGTGCCACCAGCATCTGGTGTCAAGTGCTGCTCTGCATGCCCCGCCAGGACATGCTGGGGACCGCAGCCCTGGTCCCTTCATATTTTCCTCAGCCCTTTGATGGCAGAGCAACCCTAGGAGCATGACTGATCGATCATCTCTCACTCCATAGGACTTATCACCAACCGAAGACGACCATGAGCCTCCTTTCGGAGTGGGTGGCACGGACAACATGTCTGAGAGCACTGGCAGCATCCTCAGCAAGCTTGACTGGAATGCCGTTGAGGACATGGTGGCTGGCGTGGAGGACAGGAGCCTGTCCGTCCAGTGGGCCTTCGACCTGTAAGACCAGTGTGACAGCCGTTTCCAGCACCTCCTTAGTGTGGTTCAGAAAGACTTGAAGGGCACCATGGGACTTTACCACCTGCTGTCATACCAATACTTAGCCATTTCAAAAGGGAAAAATAAACATTTCTCATTAATTTTGTCTCCATGGGGAAAGGCTTATTTAACTACAGATATATCGTGTTTTTGCATTTGACTTGTCTTTGGTGTACTTTTTGTTTTCTTTTGTTTAGCTTTTGAGAAAGGATCTCACTGTGTAGTTCAGGCTGGCCTTGAACTCAGTGATCCTCTTGCCTCAATCAAGCGATGGAATACAGGTGTACCACCAAACCCAGCTCTTATTTTGGCATAATTTTTAAAATAATCTTTCAAGTCAAATTTTCATAATATTTCAGCTGCTTTTAAAAAAAAAACCTTATAAAAAAAAACCTTATATCTTGCCTTTTTTACTACCTTCTGTGTTTTGAGAAACACACTTATATGATGAATCTGCAAGGACAAAATTTTTTTTTTTTTATGGGGAACAGGAATAGCTCTTGAGAGACAGGAAGTGCCCCGAATGGGTTGCCAAGGAGCCCACCTCTGGAGTTTTCTACAGCAAATCATGAGGTGGGTACAAGGTGGATCAAAATTATAAAAATTACCAATAAAATTACAAGTTTAGTCACTTGGGTAATACTGATGTAATGGTAGCAAGGGTGCATGGGTGACGTCATTAACGTTGGTCAGCAATCTGTAGCCTTCCTCTTCAGTGTTAGTAGCTTCGATTTTAGGCTTAGTAGGTGGGAGAAGATGGCCCACCCCTAAGGAGATAGTGGGAAATCTCCAAAGGGCAATATATCAATAATCCTAAACTTCCTTTCATCCTTCAAAATCACGATCGCTAGTTTTGCACACTTCCTTAATCTGTAGGTCACCTCTAGCCGCAGTCCTGATGCATTTCCATCCTCTGAGCAGGCTCCCTTTGGGGCCTGGGCCTGTCTGATTGCCTGATATATTTCTGCCTATCTTAGATGCCTATAATACTCCTCCCTCTGAAGAGTGCTTGCAGTAGGGAGAAGAGGCATAGTTCCATCTAGTGACTTCAAGCTGACAAGAGAGTTGGCGTAGGGAAACTGCTGCAGTCAGAGGCCTTCCCCAGAGGGGCAATCTAATGGGCCTTAGCTAGAAGCGAGTTGTAGTTTAGCAGTTATGAACTCTTCATAAGGTCAGCCTGGTGGATCCTGGAAAAGAAGTCTGGCGTATTTATCCTTGGGTCCATCTACATGATCATGTGGAGTGTGGTAGCCTTTAGGCAAGAATAAACAAATTTTCCAAAAAATTAAAATACATATAATGAAAGCATGAGCACTAGAATGGAAAAGCAGGTTGGGGAAAGAACTTCATCTAGAAACTGCTCTTATGGGACTGGAATAGTAGCTGTACCTAGTTGGTTCTTCACACACACCCTACACCCCCCCCACACACATGCACTGATAGAGGTTTTAACCCTTCAACTGATAAGGTGTTTTTTTTGTTTGTTTGTTTGTTTGTTTTATTTTTTTTGTAGAACCGGGGATTAAACTCAGACTCTAGAGCTTGCCAGGGAAGTGCTTATTCTACTGAGCCATCTCCCCGGCCCCAGATATTTCTTCTTATAAATCCTTTTAGTTTAACTGTAAGAAGGTTGGGAAAAGGAATTTAGAGGCTTGTTCAGTGAACAACATGATGTTTGATAATATACCGAGTAATTGGTTAAGTGAATTTCCCTATGTCCCTTAAATCTTATCTAGGCCCCATGCTCTTAGGCAGGTAGCACTCATATCCAGGGTGGGGCTCCCTTAATCCTACCCAGAACTATTCCAAACCAATCAGTGGACTAAGTTAGTGTTCACACACCCTTGATCCTAGCGCACACTCTAGATCCAGCCCCCTCTGAAAAGATCCACCTATAAGTGCAGGAGGCTTTGGGAGAAACATCTAGACACAAACCTTAACAATAATCAATAGGTCACAAGAAAAAAAATCAAGGAAGAAATCAGATACTGGAATCAAATAATAGGGCCGGCGAGATAGCTCAGTGGTCTAATGTGCCTGCTTAGGCAGTTGCAGGGAACCATGGTTCAATCCTTAGCACCACATGCTGTGCCAGCCCCACCCTCAGAGTGGGCTGAGAGCCAGCCAAAAAGTAATAATGGCACTATCATATATCAGAATCTATGGGAGACAATAAAAGCAGTCCTGAAAGAAGTTTATGGCTTTGAATGTCCACATCATAAAAACAGAAAAAGCTGTTTTTTTCTGTTACTGAGCCATACTGGAGATGCCTCAGTAGAATAAGCACTTCCCTGGCAAGCTCTAGGGTCTGAGTTTAATCCCCGGTTCTGCCAAAAATAAAAATAAAAATAATCTAATGATACATTTCAAGATTCTAGAAAAACAACAATCTTAACTTCAAAGACAGTACAAGGACGGAAATTATCAAGGTCACAGTATAAGTCAAAATTGAAACAAAAGTGAAAAACAGTAATAACTACTTTAAAAACCTGTACTGCAATAAATTAGACAATCCAGAAGAAATGAATTCTTAGAAAGATACAAATGACTAAAACTGAACCAAGAAGGTATGAAGAAAACACTGAACAACCCAGTAACAGACAACGAAATTGTGGCAGTGATAAAAATCCTAGCAACTCACTGGTGAATTCTACTAGAACTTAGTGGTACCTCAGTTCATGAACTTAATTTATTCTTTGATTCTGGAAATGATTGCCACAATTACATTCATGCAGGGAAGGCCATGGTCATGTTCGCTAACCAATGCAGAGCTTACAAACAAAATTTTACAAAATGCATCTATTTGTGCACCAAACTGTGCATAACGGCATTTGTGAGCCACGATGCCATTGTACTCCTCAAACTTCAATGAAATAGAAAGGTAAGGAGCACTCCCTAAACCTTTCCTGGAACCTAGCATTACCCTGATTCCAAAACCAAACAAGGATCCAACCAAAAAGAATTAAGGTCAAACTCTTCAAAGAACATGGACATAAAAGTTCCCCGAAAGATACAAAGAATGCAACAAAATATCACAAAGACCAAATTAGGTTCTTTCTAGAGGTGAAAGGATGGTTCAACATATGGAAATAAATGTAATACAGCACAAGCAACTACAAAAGCATGATAATCTCAATAGATGCAAAAAAAGCCTTTGACAAAACTGAACATTCATGATTTTAAAAGTCTTAAAATAGGTATAGATGGTAGCGACTTGAGCTTTGGTGAACCTTGAAAACTTCAAGTGCCTCAGTCTAGTAACCCTGGTGTCCGACCCCTACTTTTATGCTGCAGGTTGGGCAGACAGCATAGAAAAAAGCGCCTGGGACAAGACAACAGCGTTGTCCAGAGGAGCCCAGGGTAAATCCACTCTAACAAGGGGAAGTGCTTTGCATACAAACCATGAGATATGATTGGTTCTGTTAGCTTTGCTCTTGTGGTGTAAAGTACAAACTCAATAGTTACATCATTTGGTCAGTTTCTAAGTTGTGCTTGTGGCTAATTGTATTACTGTAGCTATGAGGTCATCTCTGATGTAATCAGCTGTTCTCCCTTGCACAACCATATTGGGAAGCTGAGGGGTAATAACTTCACCACAGCCCTACATCAAAAGACTGGGTATAGGGGCTGGTGAGATGGCTCAGTGGTCTAAAGCACCTACTTAGAACAAGCTTAGCAAAGCACAGGGACCCTGGTTCAATCCCCAGCACCACATGCCAGCCAGCCCTGCCCCCTGGTGGGCTGAGCTGGCCACACACACACACACACACACACACATAAATAAATAAAATAAAAATCTTTAAACAAACAAAAGACTGGGTATAATGGCCACGATTGGATATATTGTCCACAGGAGACCAAATTAAAAGGAATTACAGAACTTTTATTAATTAGCCAATGACCTGTGTGCTCCCCTGCCCATCTGGGTAGACACAAAGGCCCAATTCTTTGTTTCCTACCTGTTTTTAGAGTTTCTTTGTTGCTATGGCAACTGGGCAGGACTGCAGTGCCCCCTATAGCCTATAGGTGCCAGGTCATGGCAGAAACATAATGCCCCTATATCCTACAGGTGCAAGGTCTCGGGCAGAGGTATTTATGGCTAAACATGGGCAAATAGTCTGTCTCTTATTGCCCTAAATGGGTCCTGTCTTTTCTTTATCTCCTATATGTTTGTGAAGTTCTGACCGGGCAAGGGAGAGGAGTGAGGAATGGGGCAATTTAGGCAAGGCTGCTTCTATGTAATACTTCAGAGGCAGGGGTTAAACTAAATTGAATTCTGCCTCAGTCTCTTCTACTTCTCAAAGTGAATAGGGGATTATGCTAGACACCATCCCTTAAGTAGACACTGAGGCAAACAGAAACCAACATCCATTCTCATTTGGGAAGGTAGAATCTTGGGACAAACACAAATTAAGAAACTCCTACACAGAGAAGATATCCCTGAAGTACAGACTTTCCTGAAAACTAGGAAATAACAGTTCAATATCGCTACCTAGTACCACATCTCACAAGGACCACCACAGAAATGAAAACAATTGTTTTGAAATAGAAAATGTTAATACAGAGGAGCAAAAGGCAATTTCAGAACCCCAGCCCACCCAGAATAACTCCAGGAGACATTGGTATAGAAAAACGTGGAGTCAACACCTGAAATTTCTGACATGTTAGCAAATGAAGTAAACAACTCCATCAGAATATAGAAGAAATCATAATCTGTCAGGTAAAAAAAATGACAACCATAATGAAAATTGCTCAGCATATCTAAAGAAGATAAAGATTAAAAAGGGGGGGCAATAAAAATGGTGGAAACCTTGAAAGAACAATATAGAAAAGAATTAGAATGCATG